CCCCCCCCCCCCCCGCCAGAGGGGATGGTCATGCCACAATCCCTTCTCCTCCGTTCTCTGGGGATCTTGGGCACCCACGCAGACGCGCCCGGCGTGAGTTTTAAGCCACCAGGTCCGGGACAGGAACCGCGGTCAGCTACATGGCAGTCCAGCGACATAGCCATTACGCTAACTGCTGGCCCCTTTTTAAAAAGAATTTTATTTATCACTATTATTATTTTAAATATGCTACAGGGCACATATCAGTGAGAGACAGAGACAGAAAGAGGGAAAGTGAGAAAGCAAGCTGCACGGTCTAGGACTCAATGTGGGAGCCATATGGGAGTCCAGAACCTCAATCACAACGCCACCTGTCCTCCGTAAGTAGAATTCTAGAGATGCCCCTCTCCCAACATTCCTGCCCTCTGGCTGTTACATGAATTTAGTTACTGCTGATGGAATTAAGGTCACTTTAAAATGGGGACATTACCCTAGATTACCGGGCTGTGTCTAATGTGTGGTGAGAATGGTGCGGTGATTAAGGGAACTGGATCTCACATGGCCGACTGCCAGGTTTAAGTCCCAGACCCTGGCAACTTGAAAAACTACCTGGTCACACTGACCAGGCCTAAGCTCAAGGGTCAGGACTGCCTCTCCAGACCTCTGGGGGCTGCCCAGGCTTCCTAACTCAGGCCTCTGGTCGCCGCGCCATCTCTCTTGAAGACCTCCTAGAGTTGATGAGGATTAAGCAGCGGGTTCCCATAACGCGTTTGGTACAGGGCTGACAAAACAGGCGCTTGGAACGCGCTCGCCTTTATCCCTGGACTCAGCTCCAAAGGGCAAGCCCAGGTCTTCTCTACCTTTCTAGACATGCAGGGCGAAAAACAGGGTCTGCCACCCAGTTCCTGGGGCCCTCTGCTGAGGGGACAGCAGCTCTGGTGTGATTGTGACAGTGCAGGCGGTGGTACGTTTCCCACCAGTACCAGGGCGTTCCTGCGCCGCATTTATGAGTTCCTGGTTGTGGTGCCCGCCGGCTGCAGGGCCCTAGCCAGTGTCTGAAGGTCTGACTCCTCGGGGGTTCCAAAGCCTCTTCCTCCAGGCGTCAGGGGCGGCCCGAGTGTAGAGGGGGTGCAGGTATGCGGGGCCCAGCTCCAGCACCGCGCCCCCACGGAGGCCCACGATCCCTCTCCCGCCGAGCGCCTCCACGCCGCAGCTCTACACGGAAACGCGGTGACCACCGCCTGGCTCAGGCCCTGCTCCTGGCGTCCAGAACCCGCAGCTGGGCGGGGCCTCGTCTCTCCTCCGGTG